TTTCAAGTATTCTTACTCTTATGTATGACGCTTATGAATTTTTAAAAGGTTTAAATGGTAACTGCCTATATTTGTAGCTTAATTTAGAGAGGTTTTGTTTGTTCGTTCCAGTAATTAGCCGTGTCCCGGCTCTGTTCGGCTAAATATTTAAGCTAAATTAACGTGTTTTGGTGAGGTTGTGTGTGTTCCTGCCAGTAATTAGCCGTGTCCCGGCTCTCTGTTCGGCTAAGAATTGTAGCTTGTTAGCCCCCGCCATGGCTTTGAAATGGATGTCATTTGTGGATAAGTATAGGGGACTTGAGGTAAGTAATTTGGTTAATGTTGTGAATACCTGATCCGCAGTGCGCAGGTGCGAGATGGTCCGCCACATTGGACAACTCTGTACGGCAACCCCAAATAGAACATTTGACGTCTAGACGGCAGCCCGATTTGCATTGCGCATGCCATAAACGTCTCAAATATCTATACAAAAATATTTTTTTTGATTTGAAATAAAATGAAGGACGTTCACAGTTAATGTATTTAGATATAAATTATTAATGCCATACATTTTTGCATACATTCACAGTAAATATGTCTTCAGTATGATAGCTGTCAGAAGTTAAATTCATTTCTCACTTATTCTGACAATGTACTTAACCCAATACAAGGACCCAATAAAAGGAGTTGTTCAATAATAGTGAAGTCACGTTGTAATAACAATAACTCATCTCTCGTTCAGATTAATATTGTCAGGTTTTTTGAGTGTTCTTTTTCTGCTTTGCCAAACGCCACTGTGTCAAATGTCCTATTAGAGTTGCCGTACGTTGTTGTCAAATATGGCGGACCATCTCGCACTGCAGATCGGGCAGTGACAGTGGATCAGAAACGGTGAACAGAGTTGGCTGCCGTAAAGTCTTGTTGTTGTTGCAGTTCCAGCCGCTGTGGAACGGAAAGTAAAACATTTGCTTAACGGGAAAAGATGCACCATTTAATCGACTTTTCTTAGGAAATCATTTATTTTCAGATGCTTTCTCTATTTTAGCATTTATAAAATATATTTTTTATTTTTTGTAAGTCAAATAATTACGTGTTAATTAACCATATAAACCGTTTTTTTTTGTACATTTCTCAGGAGGGATGCAGCCACGACCAGCTCGGAGGTTACAAGAAGAAGTCAGACGACAACATCGGACAAAAAGAACGACAAAGAATCCACCGCGAGTCTCAGGAAGTCAGAGACAAAGACCTCGAGAAGTGAGAAGATCGTCGACAAGAAAGATCAGAAACCTGCAGAGAAACAGACAGGAAGTGGAGAGGAAGAGGGCAACACCTCCAGTCAGAAAACAACAACAGCAGAGAAGAAGAAGGAGGTGAAGACGGACGAACAGAAGAATGACGTTTCAAGTAAAATCCCAGAGGAAGTGAAGGAGAAGAAAGAGGAAGAGAAGAAAGACGAGAGGAAAATCATCGGGAAAATCGTGAAGGCGACGCCAGGACAAGGAGCGAAAGTCCAGATGAAGACGATGATGGGAGGAGTGACGATGGAGCAGGAGAGGAAGAGGAAGGAGGAGGAGAAGAAGAAGGAGGAAGAAGGGAAGAAGGAGAGGACATCTGAGGATAGAAAAGTGGACGACAAAAAAGACAAGAAGGGAACGGAGGGCAAAAAGGAAAATGAGGCGATGAAAAAAATCGAAGACGAGAAAAAACCTACGTCCAAAACTTCAGAGAAGAAAGAAAGCAACGCGGAGAAAATAGCCACGAAAGACCAGAAGAAGAAAGATGTGTCTGACGGGAAAACAACCGCAGAGCAGACGACTAAACCACAGAAGAAGAAAGAAGAAACAGAGGTGAAGAAAACAGCCACGAAAGACCAGAAGAAGAAGGAGGAGAAACCTGAGAAGACAGACGGAAAAACATCCGCTGAGTCGGACAAGAAATGCACCGAAGACACGAAACCACAGAAGAAGAAAGAAGAAACAGAGGTGAAGAAAACAGCCACGAAAGACCTGAAGAAGAAGGAGGAGAAACCTGAGAGAGGTTCTGAGAAGACAGATAGAAAAACATCCGCTGAGTCGGACAAGAAACCACAGAAGAAGAAAAGAGATGGAGCATCGCAGTCTGAGGACGAGGAGAAGAAGAAGAGGAAGAAGAGTTCAGATGTTTCCATGAAGAGCGGATCGTCGGAGCAGAAGAAGAGCGTGGCGGCCACGGCGGCCATGACACTAACGGACTCAACGCTGCACCGTATCCATGGAGACATCCGGATCTCTCTGACGCAAAACCCCGTAAGAGTTCACTGATTCAATATTATAGGGAAACCTTTAAAGAGTCCTCTCTAGTGTGTTTACTTTAAAGAGTCCTCTCTAGTGTGTCTACTTTAAAGAGTCCTTTCTAGTGTGTCTACTAGGGGTGTAACGGTACACGTACCGAAATTATTCGCTACGGGCCCTTCGGTTCGGTACACGTGTGTAATTATTCTGTAACATTTAAATGGTGACCTTTTGAGAGAATCTAAAAGTGTGTGTGTGTGTGTGTGTGTGTGTGTGTGTGTGTGTGTGTGTGTGTGTGTGTGTGTGTGTGTGTGTGTGTGTGTGTTTCAGGACATCAGTAAGTGTCTGCTGGCTCTGGATCAGCTCAGTATGCTCCTCGTCACGTCCAAACACGTGAAGAGACACAGCGAGCTGATCGCCACGCTCAGGAAGGTAAACGCTGCTTTCTTCTAATTGATATATCAAAGGTGTCTTAGCTGCAAGTAGAGGCTGAGGAACTGAACATCAACAGGAAACCCATGCACTTCCTGCTGTTCCCCTGTGTGCAGCTGCCGTACTGTACCTCTGTATAGAAGCTGGTAAATGCCATAAACACTTGAAGTAAATGTAAACACGTTCACTGCATTTCTTCTGCTTTTAACTGCAGACAGAAGGAGATAAATGTCATGTATACGTGTGTTACTACATTTTAACCCTGATTTTCTCCCGGTGCGGCACTGTATCCCCGGATAGATGGAGTTAAATGTCGTGTATACGTGTGTTAATATACGTGGGTTAATATACGTGGGTTAATATCCTAATGTAACGGTGTTTTTCTCCTGCTTCCAGCTGCGGTACTACCGGGCGAACCAGGCCATCATGGACAAAGCTTCGATGCTTTATAACCGTCTGAAGAACTCCTTCCTGGTGGGCGAGGGCGAGGAGGTGGTGAGCGCCGCCTTCCTGCAGTCCCTCCTGCAGGAGAACGAGAGGGGGGAGGAGCAGAGGGTGAGGAAGAGGAGGGAGGAAGAGGAGGCCAAGACTGAAGGTAACTGCATGCTCAAGTGTACACAGGGAGTGAATGGAGTGATAGAAACTGTGCCAAATAAAAAATTAATAAAAATATATAATTATTTTGTAAGAACAATTTTAATTTTAGAAATATAAAAAAATATTATAAATTAATTAAATTATACATTTTAATTTGTTATGATTTATTTATAGTTTTTTTTCATTGTTTTAATAACAAAAAAAACATTTGGAATAGCTATTTATAATATGTGTGTCCCCCCCCTCCCTCCCGCAGCTGCAGTGGTCTGTCCCTGAATCTTCACTGTTCTTTAAGCAGAGCGGACCGTACCAAGTCTAATCCGAGGGGTGGCCAACAAGATCTCCCACATCGCATTAAACACCTCTAATAATATATTTCCTGTTACGATGGCGGTTTGTTTTAACAAGTGCCGTAAATACCGACTTCACCACAGCAGTGTTCATCTCTCACACTAACTCAACACGTCAGCATTAAACACAACGTTTTACCGTCTCTTTTTCAAACCTCACCTTGTGGGGTTTCTTTTGCATTAATGTTCTTTCATCACTAAATAGTCAGGAAATAAACAGAAAAATGACTTTTATTTAAATCCGATGTGAAGGGCTGATGGGTAATGTAGTTTTTTCAGGTTTAAAGTCACTAAAGTGTTTTTATAAATCTGTACAGCCACACGTCGTATTCTGTATTTTTATCGTGATGTTTTTTAATTACTTATGATATGTTTTGTATCTACTCGGGTGCCGTTGGGTTTCTAGATGGCTGTTTTGTAAATATGTAATTTTTGTAATAGTGTTTTTTTTGTTTTTCTTCCAAATGTGAAAAATGTGCTGGTTTTTGTAAATAAATGTATAATCATGCAAAGTAGTAAATAAAAATAAATCCACAAAATGTTCCTTTTCTGTTTGGGTCCGAGTCCCCTATCAATTTACAAAAACTCACATGTTATTAAAATTACATATTTATTTATCTAAAAATCCCTTTTTCTCGATTCAAGCTTTATTTTATTGACATGAACAAAAACAGAAATATGTATGTTTTTTTTAAATCATACAAACACATAAGATACTAAAACTTGGATTTATAATAATATAATACAACTATATATATAAGTATTTATGAAAAATATGGAGTATCCTGCATTGTTATTACTGTTCAGAAAACAGCCAATAGGAATGAAGACTCCTCCCTGTGTGGGTGTGTGTGTGTGTGTGTGTGTGTGTGTGTGTGTGTGTGTGTGTGTGTGTGTGTGTGTGTGTGTGTGTGTGTGTGTGTGTGTGTGTGTGTGTGTGTGTGTGTGTGTGTAAAGGGGCGGGATCAGGAAGCTGGAGGTGTGTTTTCAATGTCCTCGCGGAAGACTAGCAGAGCGAGCGACACACAGAAAAAAAGCCCAAACAGAAATCAGAAAACACCGGGAATAAAACACAGAAGAGTGTGTGTCTGCTCCAGCGCGGTGTGTGTGAGTGTGTGGCAGACATGGTGTTAGAGCTGCGGACCTGAAGGAGAACAGCCGGCATCATCATGGCCCACCACGTAGGCAACGGAGGAGCAGAAGAGGAGGTGGGTCAAATTACCGAGAATACCCCGCCTAGTCATATCTAATGTTTGTATAACACAGCATGCACGTTACTGCAACTGTGCGTGTGTGTGTGTGTGTGTGTGTGTGTGTGTGTGTGTGTGTGTGTGTGTGTGTGTGTGTGTGTGTGTGTGTGTGTGTGTGTGTGTGTGTGTGCGTGTGTGCGTGTGCGTGCGTGCGTGTGTGTGTGGATCTATCTGCTGTTTTTCTATCATATTCACATCATACCATCACCTTCTCCTTGGTGCTGATTTATATAATTCAAATGCTATTTCCCTTATGCTCCACACAGTAGGCTTTATTCCTTTAATACTCGTGTATTTGTTATATATATTTTACATAATTTATTGACATATTTCGGTTAATAGTTCATTTTTTATTTGATTATTTTAGGGGAAAAAATCCTATAATAATGTTACATTTTTTAATATGTATTTGTATTAATATTGTAGAGATTTTTTAAGATGTTATGGTTTTTCTTTTCACTTTTATAAAATGATAATGACATGTCCCATATGCTCCACCGGAGGCTATACTCCAATAATACTCATGTGCATTTCTACAGTATATGTATTCATATTTTGGATTTTAAAGTATTTTTTCATTTATATTATATCAATTATATTTCACCATGGACTCTGAGAAACTTATATGAAATAAAAATTTAGAAAATATACACAATGCACGTCAGTAGTACAGATATGTCCTGCTGTGTTTGTGGAGCATGTCGAAAATAATGCATTTAGTAGGCTGTAGTATTATGGTAATTATATCAAAAGCAACCTTTATAGGAATATATAGTATTATGGGAATATAATAGAAATGCAACACAAACACAGTACAGACCATAAGTGTCTCCAATACCATATTTAATCTATATTATATATATTATATTATACAAAGTCCCTTGTTTCAAGAACCCACCAAACATTCCCAGCTTCTAAGACGAACTTTGAGCATCCTTCCACGCCCTGTTTGCGCTGGGACACTCCCAGTTAGAACAAAAGCAACAAGGCTGTAAGCTTACTGGAAACATCTACGTTAACAAATAACTTTTACTGGCTCTCGTTGCATCGTATCCCAGCCCGAAACCACTCTCCCCCCTCATGAATCATCCTGATATCCAGCTTCCTGTTGGCCTGCGGTGGTAATCAGATGCTCCATTTACATAAACCTACATAAACACACACTCACACTCACACACGCACACTCACACACGAGATAAGAATCAGAAGCTTTAAACAGACACAGAAATCAGAAAATGTGCCCGAATGTTTAAAAGAAAATTATTCAAATACATTAAATAATTCCAAAGACACACTGTGTGTCCTTACAGAACGACGACAGGAACGTTATATATTATATTTAAAAGGACTATTTAAGGGACAACAACAGACCCCTTATAGAGGTACAATGGATCTGCTTAATGTATATAAAATCCCTAAGATTTTGGTTTAATAATACTTATATTCTGACGTCAGGCAATTCCTGTTTTTTCTCCACATAGCACCAACAAATACCCCGAACATCTGAACTGAAATAACCCTAAATTGATGTTAAACGTCACGTCTCAAACTGTAAAGGATATTGAAACACAAATACAGTATTTTTCTCGTACATTTTTTTTATTTTTCCTGTAATTGTTCCACTTTAACCTCGGAGATGAAGCACCTTTTTTCTCGTTAATTTAGAGTTTCTTCCTGAATATCGCCCCCACCTACCTGGGTCGATAATGATAACGTGTTTACCTACAATAACCCCAATTAGCTGCCTTTACGTCTCAGGGAATATTCAAGTATTTTCTTATGTATTTGAGTGAGTGTTCTTGTAAATGTGCCCCTTTAACCTCAGACAGTACACTGGATTTTTTACTTTCACTTTTTTCTCCAAATTGTAAATTCGCTTTTTGAATAATCTTTGAATGACAACGACAAAGGGAACGTTTCAATTATGCTTTGACATGTTGTATAACCTCTGCTGTTTTTAAGGGCTGTCCCGGGTCATACCTTACTTGGTAATTTCCTAATTTTCTCTGACAATCGCTCCTCTGTTGTCTCAAATCGTAACTCATCACATTACAGAGGAATCTGCTGACTGAGGGGAACACGCTAAGGTTATTAAACATTCAAACAAAGAGGTTACCTCACTGTCCAGAAACACAACAATAAATAATACAAACAAACAGAAATTGTTAACCGTGCTTTGACCTTTTTTATTTTGTAATCGAGTCCACAAAGCTTATCCTGCAGTTCTGGTTAAAACCCTGTGGTATGAATGGACTTTAGATTACACCGTGAGAATTCAAATGGATTAAAAACGTGGCTTTACTTAAAGACACCATTTCCTCACTTGTATGTGTGGAAAACAACTTGATGTTTCGTACAAATGTAGTTAAATCGTGTACGCAGTTATCCCAAATATCAACAACACTTTACAAACCCAGAAAATGTGTAGTTTGGTCGGTTTGGTTTTCATAAACTGACCTTTGACCAGTTTTAAGCCTAATATTAACGGTGGTTTGCAGAGAAACAAGCTTAGCATAGGTTAGCCTTTAGCTCGTATAACTTTCGTTATTGAAATTACAGAATCAACAACTTTCTCCATATGGACATTGGAGTGAGTTTGTGGATCTTAAAGGGTCTTTAAACGGGTACCAATACGTGTAATGAGTTTTCAAGGATTTCCTGAATGTTTGCAGGTCTTTAAAAATATTTTCGGGTCTTTGAGAGTGTTTCAAATGCCATTAAGAGTGTTCTTTTGGAACTTCCTTGGAGATTTGGAGGGAGCTTTTGGATTTTGAGGGGTCCGTCAATTGGTACCAATACGTGTAATGAGTTTTCAAGGATTTCCTGAATGTGTGCAGGTCTTTGAAAAGATGTTTGGGGTCTTGAGGATCACTCGAAGTTGTTCAAGGGTCTTTCGATGAGTATCAGAAGGTTCGAAGGGTCTTCAAGGTTACTGTTCCCACGCCTTTGAGAGAGTTTCAAATGCCATTAAGAGTGTTCTTTTGGAACTTCCTTGGAGATTTGGAGGGAACTTTTGGATTTTGAGGGTCCGTCAATTGGTACCGAGAACTTTGATGAGTTTTCAAGGAATTGCTGAATGTGTACAGGTCTTTGAACATGTGTTGTTGAGGTTTTGTGAGTTATTGAGTGAGTTTATGGACCTTGAGGGTCTTTTGGCTTCTAAAGTCTGATGAGTCTCCCAGGAATCGTTGAATTTCCTCACTTCGTTGAGAATGATTATATAACTGATTTCAACCTGTTTTGTTGAACTTTCTTGTAGATTCAATGGATCAAGATATGAGTTCTTGGATCTTAAGGCTTCTTTTAAAAGATCCTTCGACGGTATCAGTAACTTTTATGGGTCTTTAAGAAACCTGTTGATGTGCCAAGGTCTTTGAGAGAGTTTAAAATGCTCACATTGAGTTGTTTGTGGAATCTTTTGGATATTTGATTGTTCAAAGATTGAGTTATTGGATCTTGAAGCAACTTCTCAAAGATCCTTTGATGGTATCAGTAACTAATGGGTCTTCAACAAGCGTTTGAATGAGCCACGGTCTTTGGTTTCACTTGCTCTTTTTAAGTTGTTGTGGAACTTTCATGGAGATTTGATGGGTCAGGGAGGGAGTTCTTGGGTCTTGAGGATCACTCGAAGTTGTTCAAGGGTCTTTCGATGGGTCAGAAGGTTAGAAGGGTCTTATGAGAATGTTTCAAATGCCATTAAGAGTGTTTTTTGGATCTTTTGGATTTTGAGGGTCACTCAAAGTTGTTCAAGTGTCTGTTAATGGGTACCAATAAGTGTGTTTTGCCTTCAAGGAATCTTTGAATATGCCAAGGTCTTTGAGATGGTCATCGCATGCTTCTGATTGATCTTAAGTTGGATTTTAAGGATCTGAAAGTTGTTCCAGAAGTTTCTCAAAGCCCCTTAAAGAACAGGAAATGTCCT